AAATCGGGGGAAAATGAAGAGGAAGAAGTTAGGGTATAATATATCAAACTTATTTACGACGACATTGTCGCCGCAAATAAATTTAAAATGTCATCGCAAATACCACATGTCTGAAATTATTTACAACGACATTGTCGTCGCAAATAAATTTAAAATGCCGTCGCAAATACCCCACATCTGAAATTATTTGCGACTACAATATTTCGTCGCAAATAATCATTCCACCACGTTTATTCTTGGTCAAATGTGTATAGCTTATTTGCGACGACAAAGAGAAAACATCATCGCAAATAGAGTGATATTATTTGCAACGACATGTGTCGTCGCAAATAAAAAGATATTTGTGATGACTTGGATTCCCTTTGGCAACAAAAATCCGTGTCATTGGAAATTGCGCGCCTAAACTATTTGCGACAACATTGAACTTATTAGCGACGATATGCTTAATTTATTTAACGGGGATTAATTGCGACGACATATTGTCGCAAATAATGAAATATTTACGATGACATATGCCGTTGCAAATAATGTCATCGCAAATGATCTTTATTGTTGTAATGACAATTTTTTCCACCATACTTGGCCGATAAGCACATTATGTCCACCCCATTCCACACCACATGTATAAACAACCTTTTTCAAGATAAGATAAGATTATTAAATGTCTATTGGTGAATCCTTTTGAGAATTTTAGCATGCGAGTCTAATAAAGAGCTGCTCCAAATATCTTGGAGCACTAACTACTCAACAGCTCAATGCTCGTCTATATACAAAATACAATGTAGATTCCCCATTCACAACGGCTCCTCTCTCTCTCTCTCTCTCTCTCTCTCTCTCTCTCTCTCTCTCTCTCTCTATTTTATTTTTATTTTGAGATTTTATATAAGATAATAAACTGGGCTCTTTTTTATTTTTATTTTTTATGTACTCAAACGTGGGTTTAAGACTTTAGACCCTCAAATTAAAGGTGGTAATCACCATAAGCAAAATTTACCATTTTTCAGATTTTTCTATCCCTAATATTTGTTTTTATTAATTGGTAAATAGGTATTTGTTTTTATTGTTGTAAAAAAAAAGATAAAATCATTTTGGTACCCTATATTATAGCGAAATATGTTCTTGGTACTCTATGTTTTTTATAATATTAAAATGGTAGCTTGACATTTTTAAAAACATCTTCTGGGTACCCTAAAACTAATTTTTAGGATATGTAATATCCAAATTACTCTTCTTATCAATTAAATAAAAAACTATTTTTTTTTTAAAATCTAAAAATATTTTAAAACATTAAAATATTTAAAAGAATGTAACAAAATAAAAAAGTTCATGATTTATTTTCCTAGATTTATTAGTTTTTGATTAATTAAATAAAAGGGTACAAAGGTTATTTTACATCTCAAAAATTAGTTTAAGGGTACCAAAAAGATATTCTTAAAAAAGTTGAGATACCGCTTTAATATTATCAAAAAAATAGGATACTAAGAGTATGTTTTGCTATAACACATGATACCAAAATAATTTTATTCAAAAAAAATTGTTTTATGTGGTGAAGGACGCGCGTCTTTCCTAAGTTATAACAACCAAATAATACAGAAATAGGTTAATTGTATGCATGGGACCATTCAATAAAGAATATGTCGATTCATACTAAACTAATATAGAATTCTCGATTAATTAAACGACTGCAACTAGAAATAAGGTTAAACCCCTTTCTTTTAGTGAGAAAAACTACGTCGTACAACTTGCCAGCTCATAATTTACTCATAGTTAGCGCTTGCAACATGGCACGCATTGAACTGAATAATTAGGCTAATATCCAATAAAATATAAATAACTTTTTCCGAGAATCTTAGGAAACATATATATATATATAAATTAATACTGTTCAATTACAACCATTTCATATATAAGGTTCCTTTTCTTTTTGGTGCTCTGACTTTTATAGTCTGTTATTTAGCTTAATTTGTAATTTACTCGAAAACTCATCTATATTCGCCTCAAGTTTCGTTCAAAACGTGACGCATCTTTGTACCATTGCGTGAAATTATGAACTTGACTGTAAATATCGTGTGAAGTCCAAATTTAGAATTACTTAAAGAGCATCACCACTTAAGGTTAGAATTTTCTAATTTTCCAGTACTGCTCGTCAATATTTTGTTCTTTGACCGCCGAAAACATTCATTGCTTCCTCCTTTAAGTTCTATCTCTCTCTCTCTCTCTCTCTATATAGTGGAATAGTTCAGTGTGTTGTTTTAGGGTCTTGCCTAGTCAATTGCCTGACGCCAGATGATGCCTTGTTGTTAATTAGTAGTTTTTTTTTTTTCTTTTTGAATTTTAAATTTTATGATTGGAAGAGATAAACTAAATTAGGTCTCATTCACTTTGCGGATTTAAATTTTTAATTTGAGTTAAGATGTGACATTTTATGAGAATTTTTAACTGTAGCAAAATAAATTAAATGTGACATTTTTTTATAACTTTTAATTATATAAACTTAAAATTAAAAACTTAAATTGGCAAAATGAATAAGTGGTTAAAGACTATTTGATCAGTTATTCTTTTCTTTCCTTTGTTTCTTGGGTGTTTCGATACAATTCATTCAGCGGCAAAAATGTACTATTGAATATGTTAACGTCAAGAGCACGTAATCTTAATAAAGCTACGTGTTGCCTTAAATTCAATATGTATGCTTAAGGTCGGTCATAACTTCATATATATAACTGAAGTCATAACATACAAGTAATTGTAACTGAACTTCAGATGAGGACTAAAGGCATATCATCAAGTTGTAATAACTTATAATCCGTTGACCAATTCCAAAATTTCATTGGAGATGCTATGAAAAAACACACCATTATACCCCAACAGCAGAAAAATAAACTGAAACAAAATTAAAAAGAAAAGAGATAAGATAAAAATTTAAGTGGTTTAGAAAAAATTTCTACGTCCACAAAAGATGGAGAAAAATTTACTAACAGTTTCAGAATTACACGCTCAATAAATTTTCTCACTTTCTCTCTCTACTCAAAATCCCTTACACCATTGTCTATCTCTCTCTCCTCACTTTTCTCTCTCTTTCTCTCAAAAGGAGGCACTCTTTCTCTACATTTTTCTCTGAGCACACATATAAAATTTTACACAAAATACTTATTTATAAACTCTTAATAAATCATAAAATAACCCTTGACCAAAAATTGAAAATAATAATTTACCAAAAAAAAAAACATAAAATATTAACTTTTTTAAAATCAATTTGAGTCACTTACTTTAACATGAGATAATTTTTTTTTTTTTGTTGTCTAAGCTTTTAGTTAATGTTTCTCTTCACTTTGTAGCATAAAATACGTGAGGCAGAATAAACTAATTGCTTCTAGTTATAAACTACCAGCTAGTTTCTGAGAGAATTCCAAGAAAATAACACAGAAAAAACTACTTCAACTATTATGATGTGATTGCATTATTAGCGGCTAGCTAGACACTTGGGCCCGTCTAAATATTTGAGCGAAATCTGTGACACATATTAAAAAGGAGAAATGGTAGAAAATAAGTTAATATGAAAACCTTAAAAAAATATATAGGTAAATTTTTAGTTATAGAAATTAATAGGTTATAACTTGTCAAGTTATGGTTCATAACTAGATAAGTTATGGACAAACTTGTCAAGTTATGGTTCATAGTCAGACAAGTTATGAACAAAAACCGCGAATAACTTGTCAAGTTATAGTTTATAACCAGACAAGTTATGGACGAAAACAGTAATTTGACATATTTATTAATTTATGTAAACTATTGACCTATTAATTTTGATTCATATCAAGTCTTGACCTATTTTTCTCCGAAAGAAGAAAAAATTTTCACTATATAAAAGCAAAAAAGTCAATGAAGAAAAATTTATTAGAGGCCTGAATCAGCTATCAACTTTATGATCCCATCCCCTGAAATTGAAAATAATTTTATGACCTTTTTTTTAAATAACTAATTTATGACCTAACTAGGATTAATTTAATTGTAGATATTATTATCTATACATTTTTAGCTTTGAAAAGTTTACAAGTGTGCTCTTTTGCTGTGTCCAAATGTATACGGTTCAGGGCTACACCAAAAAGACTTTATTCTTGCAATCTTAGTTCCAATTCTGAATTCCCCTTAATATACCAAATTTGCAATCTTGACCTTTTGCTAGTAATAATCGCTCCTTTCCTTTCGTTGATTTTGAGCTAGCTGTTGATATTCTCTAAACTCTTTTTGGCTGCCAAATTTGATTTCACGACCAATATGACGAGAAACGCTTACTTCTCTTCTTATATGTGTGTATATATATGTGAATGTATCACTTTTGATAAGGCCTATTTATAAGCATCTTGTTCGCATGACTGAAATATAATGCTCAATGTGGAGCACATAATTAAGACTTAATTAAAGCTCTTTTCTCGTGTTCAATCTCTGCTTAGTTTAAAGAGGGCATGTTTTTTTTTCTTTTTTGAATAAGTCAATGGTGGCGAAAAAACAAAAAAGTTGCATTTACACTGACTAGATATATAAATTGGGTACACTTTTTTGCATTTACATTAAACAATTTTTAACGTGCTTAATGAAATTATATATTTTTTAAGGTGCTTAATGAAAGAAAGATAATGTTTAAATTTTGTAATAAGCAATAAAAATAATATAGTGAAGCATCTACAAAATCTTATTAAAGATGTTGTATATTTAAGTTTTAAAGCTTTCTTACAAGAACTTTTTTTTTTAGAAGCCTAATTTTGAGTTTCAAAAAAGAAATGACAAACAAATTCTAAGGGGCCAATAGATTGGTTCAACATTTCAACAACAAGGACTTTTTTATTCCCAAGAATGCGTTCGGGATTACATATTCCACAATCCCTTTTTAGACTCCCTCCTCATCAATTGCCAAATAATATGGGAATTAAATAAATAAAATACTAAAAAGAGAGAACTCAAGAATCATAGGACCGAAAAACTAAATAAATGTGCACAAGCTATTGGAGTAATGAAATAAAAAGCAATTGAAGCAATTTGCTTTTATCAGTTCGAAAGTGAAAGTGTGGATAAGTAAATATAATAATATTTCACACGTGTACCAATATGCCAAAACATACATACAAAAACATAATAAATGGTAAGGGAAGGCCTGGACTAAGCTTCTCTGAGTCTATTGAATTACAAATATTTTCTTTTTGCCTCAGACAATTGGCAACTACATGTTTCACAACAAGTCTACTTCTTCAGTTCTTTGAATGGTCTGTTTGACTTTTGTCAGGCCCATGATTAGCTTGTTGCCATCATTCTTTCTCTCTCTTCCTTCTATGAAATTGGTTGTAGTTGCCTCAAAATTTACAACCCGTTTACTAAGGAGAGATAATTTAAGAGTAAAACTCGTAGGTCTTAGCTTGGATTATGATTTGTCTAAGTCCTCCAATTGGTGACAAAATCATCAAAAGTACACCAAGTACGATGCAAATCTGTAATTAAACGACCAACTTGTGTTAGATTAACCAAAAACAAAAGGTCAAAATCAAATAAAACAATTTTTTTTTATAAAATGAACCATAAAAATATGCAAACTTACCCAGTTGGTACACCAAGATAAGCTGTATTTCCTTGGTTTGTAGATGGCAAGCCACATGATGCAGGGGAGCTGAAGATTGACCGAGTAAGGTATAACTCAAAAATCTTGTATAAGATAAAAATTACAAAAGTCAAATTTATTAATTATTGTTTATGATAGAGGATGTGGCTTACAAAGTATGTTGTTGGGGCAAAAGCAAAACCTCCAAAGAACGCAAGAAGACCACTAAAGAAAGGGAAAGTAATGCCAATAAACATTGTGAAGGCTGCAACAAACAGAATTCTTCATATCAATATACATTCTATTACCTTTTTATAAAAAATAAAATAAAATATAATAAAATTCTTGGCTCATTCATAATCTAAGACTACTTACCAACATATATGTTACGTGTAATAAAACGAAGCATGAAGCTAGGTCTAAAGTGCAACTTCTTCACCAGTACAGTTTCTATCATGTCAAACACCGGCATCGCGTAAATCTGAAAAGCCGTAGAGAAAAGAAAAAGATGAGCAAAAAAAATGATACTAATTAGTAAAGGAAAAAGAAAACAATAGAACATGAAGAATTAATGTGGCATAAAACTACCTGGTAGCTTCCAATAACGTGTATGACAACAAACATATTAGCCATTGCGATTAGCCAGGCGGGTTTCTCTAAAGTGATGAGGATGTTGTCGTCAACGCTATTGCCAAAGATATAATATCCAACGAGTGCAACGGGGAAGTAGCACAAAGCGACGACTATGTAGGCGACGATGACTCCTCTCCACATCGGTCCTTTCGAGGGCTTTTCGGGGGTGGATGGAATAGTTGCTTGGATCTCAAGGACCACATTGTGCCCAGCATAGGCAAAAGCTACGTCTCCAAGTGCGCTAAAGAAGTTGAAGACGGTTCCTGCAGTGGACTTGGATTTGTAGCCATATGCTACATCATCCTTAACACCCTTGTCTATTGAAGCTCCCCAAGCAATGGTAGAGTAACTGCACCGCCGTTTTACATATCAAATCTCTATGCTTAATTTCACCGATTTGAGTTTAAAATTTGAGTTTTGCTACAGTAAAAAGTTCTAAAAAACAGTCACATCTAATTTTTTTACTGCAGTAAAAAGTTCTCACATAAAGTTACATTTCAATTCGAATTAAAAACTCAAATTAGCGAACTAAACGATAGTTTCTTTTAAGGGGGGAAAAAAGTACATGACCCTCTAAATGTGTTGAAGATATAGTACCACAAGACAAAAAAGCTTATGGTTTACTTCTTACAAAAACATGGGATCTTATAAATTAACAAGAATAAGGATCCATATTTTACTCCCTCATTTTCTACCAGATAGACCAGAATATAAATCCCATGTCACATATAAAATTCAAGGCGTGTTAGTTTTAATAATTTTCTAAACTTATATCTCACTATCATAGAATCATAAAATTACAAGTAATTAAAATTAGAAATTAATAAGACTAACCTCAAGGACATAACTGCAGCAGCCAAAGAGACACCAGAGATGGAATTCAAGTTTGGAAGGTGGGAAAGCACAAAGTGAACCGAGGCGAATATCATGATGAAGTAAGTCAGCTTGATTTGTTTGTAGGACGGGCAGACGGTGTCATGGAACTTCTTGAGTGATTTTCCACCGTTGACCATATACACAACGTTCACACCAACTTCAACCACAAGTTGTTGAGGCACAACAATGTAGAGACCAAGCTTTTCTCCAAAAGCATATTGACCAAGTTCGTGATATCTGTCGAAACGTTTCCCCGGAACCATCTCATGCATCTGAACCATTTGCCATAGAGTGTACAGTGTGATGATCCATGACAGGATTAGAATTGCAACCCCAGGACCCCTAAAATTAAAAAGAAAATACAAAATCTTGATATGAATTCATATATAAGTAAGGTTTATTCTATGTAGAACTGATAAAAAAATAAAAAAAAATAAAAAAAAAACACTAAAAATTAGACATACCATCCAAGCTCTGACATGGCGTAGGGAAGACTGAGGACACCGGCTCCGACCATGGCCGTGACATTGTGGAAGGCGGAGTACCACCATTTTGCATTCCTTGAAGATGTGATTGGAAGCCAGTCATCGATTTCCTTCTGCCTCGCAAATTTTTCATCCACCTAAAACATTGATCATTTGTGTTAATTATTTTTTCAACATATTGAACAAAGACATGAGGCTCCAATTGCACGCAGGCATGGATGGAAAGTTCAGAATTTGCAGTCTTATTGATCTCATGTCATATGGTGGTGTAAAACAATTTATCCCTCTATTTAGCACTATTTGAGTCCATATTTGCTATCTTTATTTTCTTGTTTCAATGACTATCCCTCTACTAATTATTTGTCATGTCATCTAAATTTAGTAATACTTAAACAAATCACGATATATCAAAATTTAATTAGAGGGACAGTCACGGAAACATGAATTTAGGAAAGCAGATCTCGTTTCCCATTTTAATATTCTATTGTGATTGAAAATTAGGGTATCAGAGCCATATATTGGTAGATTTGAAATAATAATAATAATAATAATAATAAAGAGTATCTGCATGATACCACCACTCATAATTACTAGACCTCATATACATATAAAAAGAAAATACTTAAGACATGTCATCAGTTACGTTTAACACCACAAGTAAAACTCCAGTTGTAAAATCCGCGTTATAGGTTCACCTTCTCTTAGATCTCGTTCATTTCACTGATTGGAGTTTAGAATTTGAGTTTTATTACGGTAAAAAACTCTCAGAAACAGTCACATCTAACTTTTTTACTACAGTAAAAAGTACTAACATAAAATCACATATTAACTAAAATTAAAAACTAGAATCAGCAAACTAAACAGACCTTAGCTTCTAATGGCACCCCGTATTATTGTTTGTATATACAACTATATTATCACTTGTGAGTATAGTCTCGGAATTACTAATAGCAATAGCATTATTATGAAATTTTGGTGTTTGGTAGCAAAGTATATGAGGAAGTTAGAACACAGCCTGTGCTTTTATCAAATGTTAACTTGTGAGTTGTCAAATTGTCTACTGATTTTTTGTTTTTTCAAAAGTATGTGAGATTCGTAGCCCGGAATACGAGAAACCCAATTATCAAATTGTCAAACTTGTGATGAGTTGTCAATATTCAATAGTTATATATATGCACAACTTGGAATAACGTGGGACCCACGTTGATGGAGCAATTCCAAATGGAGCTACCATGCCAGAAGACGCGTAGCAAAAGACACCAACAACATTTTTTTCTACACGCAAATCTTGCTCGTCCTTATTCAATTGTTTGATGTTCATTGGTTCAAATAAAAAAAATCCCTTCCTAATTAACATAAACGAAAAGGAAAATAACCTCCTATCCTTAATCCTACAACTTAAAAATTAGCAATATCCTAGAATTCTTAACTGCAAATGTCATAATAAACAATTGTGTAAGAATTTTTTTTTCTCTCTCGCGAATATAAGAAGATGTGTTATTGTGTCGTTTATTTAGAAGATCAACGTCTTCTAGCTAAAACAAGTTGGCAATGTGTATCTTAAAATTCGTTGTAGATTTTTTATCAAAAAAAAAATATAGTAGATTCTATGGTCTCATTTATTTCACCAATTCGAGTTTTATTACAATAAAAAATTCTCAGAAATAGTACATCTAATTTTTTACTGCAGTAAAAAATTCTCACATAAAATTACATCTCAACTTAAATTAAAAATTTAAATCAATGAAATAAACATATATGCCTTTGTTTCCAAAAAAAAAAAAAAACAGGTCTAGGCACGTTAATCGGTAACTAGAAAAAGAAAACAAAGATATACCAGCTAAGATAAAATAAGAAAAGTTTTTTCTTTTTACAAAAAAAATAAAAAGATTTTTTCTTGAAAAACAAAATAAGGAAGGTTACCGACACATGTGTTCTATTATTATTATTTTTTTTCTTACATCTCTCCAATAATATTATGCACGTATAGCTTCAATAATGACACCGTGTTTAGAGAAAGATTTCTTTAAAAAGTCATGGGAAAGACTTCCGTTCGCAACATTTATTGGATTGGTTGCTTATTTTCTGGACATATAATTAAAGCAAAAAAATAATAATTGTAGTACGATAATATATAATTGGAGATTTTTTTTAAAAAAAAAAGATGAATAATAAAGAAAAATATTGTAACTTGTACACTATTGACGCGAGTCCCCATCCTGTCATGCATCATCTATAAAAAATTCCAGTCAATGTTTGTTTTCTATAATTGATTGTTCTCCCAAAAAGTCCAACTTGAAATAGAAAAATAAGGTACCGTAATAAAAAGATGATTGACTTCACAAGAGGTGGCAACCACGTTACTTTCAGTCAACAATGAGATTTTATTCAATCCAAGAAGCAAAAATAAAAAAAATAAAAGAAATAGTTGGAAAAGAACCCTACATCACTTCATTCCGGTGACTTATGATATATAAACACTTATATATCGTTCTTTATTTATCTCGGTCCTACATCCCTCTATTCCGTTATTTTATTTATTTATTCATTTTTCAATTTAGTCAGTTATTTTACTTATTTATTAAAGAAAAACTATGTTCCTTTTCACCAAACAAAAGAAAACGGCAAAGAAAATCTCTGCCCAATAAAGAAATACTAATTATTCAAGCTCAAGAGGAAAAAAACACACAATAAGATCAAGGATAATTTTTACAGGGCGTAAATCAAGCTCGGTATCAATTATAAAGTCTAGTTATTCATTTATAACATTTTTACGTGTAAATATTAGACTCAAATCTTTATACAGAAGTGTTTATGATATACATTTAAGAAAATCTGTACAAAGCTCAAGGAAAAAAAGAAAGAAAAGAAAAGAAAAGAAAACCTACTGGTGCAATTTCTTTCTCCCTGATAGTGATCTTATCTCTCCCTGTGTGTTAAACAAAACTTGTATATGTGTCCATTTTCTCAATTTCTTTGCTAATTTCTCTTACTTTTTCCCATGTTATATAATTCTGAAACGGGCGAAACTACAACACAAGCAAAAAAATATATGTTTCCAAAACACTCATGCGTGAAAAAACACCAAAAAAAAAAAAACATAAATGAAACGACGATTTTGGCTCCAACATGTTTCGAAAGATTTTTGAATGGTTTTATAAGGAGAGAGAGAGAGAGAGAGAAAGAGAGAGACTAACATCTGTCCGGGCATTAATGTTCTGACCGTTCTGATCATAAGCTTGAGTTCCCATGGTTGGCTTCTGTATATATTTCTGGGACTTTCAGAGAATTGGTCACAGACCCACACAGAAGAAGAGATGTTTGAAAAACAAACTTATTAGATATATGGGACTTTCGCAGCATGCGCAAGAGTAGTATTGCATATATATATAGGCTTTCAGATAAACTGTTCATTTTTTTTTTGTTTGACTTGTATCTTGTAAAGTCATGACAAGGACAAAAATAAATAAATAATAAATAAATAAACAAATATATCTTTGTCATGTAAACATATTCATCATTCGTTTTCAACACTGCAGAAATTTCGCGGAAGCCAAAGGGCCTGTTGGGGACCATTTTATTCTCAATTTTTCACCTTTTTTGAAGTAAAAAATTAAAAATAGTAATAAAAAATGTGTTTGGCGAAGTTTGTTTTAGAAAACAAAAACAAAACTGTTTTTATCGTTTTATGGAATTCTGAAAACGAAAGGGCCTGTTTGGGACCGTTTTCATTCTCATTTTTCACGTTTTTCGAAGTAAAAATTTGAAAACAGTAATAAAAAACGCGTTTGGTGAAGTTTGTTTTAGAAAATAAAAACAAAACTGTTTTTGTCGTTTTGTGGAATTCTGAAAACGAAAAAAACCCGTTTTCATTTTCTGGTTTTCATTTTTGTTTTCCTTCTTTCTTCAGCCTCCCGTCCTCCCGTTCTCTCTTCTTCTGATTTTTTCTTCCCTTCTTCAGCCGAGCTCTTCTTCCCTTCCCTTCTTCAGCCGAGCTCTTCTTCCCGGTCGAGCCCCGGCGACCTTCTCGCCCGTCGGCTGACTTGCGCCGTTTAGTTCTCACCCGAGCTCCTCCGTTCGCCTGAGCTCCTCCGGTCTCTTGTTGCTCGATCTGCCCCATTCTCATCTCGCCGTTTTCTCACCGAGGTATGCCCCTAGCCAAAAATGTTTGATGGTTTTCCGTTCGATTAGGTTGAGCATTTCTTCTTATTTGTTTTTTTTTTCCGTTTTGGCCCCGTTCTCGTCTCGCCGTTTGATTTGCTATATTCAACCAAATCGGTTGCTAGTTTTTCGTTTGATTTGGTGTTGTTTTGTTTCTAATATAGCACCTATGGGTACATAAGAAATGTATTGAATCGATTCCTTTTAATGAATAGATCCGATCGCAACTTCGAATATGGAATTCAAAGGGATCAAATAGGAAATGATACTCTGAATCATAGAACTATAATGAAATATACGATCAACCAACATTTATCAAATTTGAAAAAGAGTCAGAAGAAATGGTTCGATCCTCTTATTTTTATTTCTCGAACCGAGAGATCCATGAATCGGGATCCTAATGCATATAGATACAAATGGTCCAATGGGAGCAAGAATTTACAGGAACATTTGGAACATTTCATTCCCCCTCTTTCCTTTTTTACGAAAGTAGTGTTCGATCGATTACGTATTAATCAATATTCGATTGATTGGTCTGAGGTTATCGACAAAAAAGATTTGTCTAAGTCACTTCCTTTCTTTTTGTCCAAGTTACTTCTTTTTTTGTCCAAGTTTCTTCTCTTTTTGTCTAACTCACTTCCTTTTTTCTTTGTGAGTTTCGGGAATATCCCCATTCATAGGTCAGAGATCCACATCTATGAATTGAAAGGCCCGAATGATCAACTCTGCAATCAGTTGTTAGAATCAATAGGTCTTCA